TGGCAGATATTAAAGACCACTCCCTATGGCACATGGAAATTTATGAATCAGCTCAAAATCCTTCCGATGGCCGCTTCACGTGGATCTGTATGTAAGGAGGCTGATTGAACATTCTCTCTGGTGGAATGGACCAAATTTCCTACTGGGAACCTGACCATGATGCAAATCTACCATTTGTAAATGTAGATATCCAAGAAAAGTGATCCAGAGTTTAATAAAATTTCGGCATATAAGACCAAACTCAAAGAGAGCACTTCTATTCTTCCGTAGACTTGAATATTTTTCTGATTGTCACAGGGCAAAGAGGCTGTGCAATTTGTTTACGCCTTCAACGTAGATTCAAGAATTCTAGAGAACAGTCAATGAAGAACTGACTGAAACCAAGAAGCCAGTACATTCCACCTAGTGTCAACAGAACTTTTGGAAGCTGAGAATTAATCATAAGACAAGTCCAAATGAAGCTTTCCAAAGGTGAAACAAGATTTTACAATGTGCTTAACAACGACAATGAGATCCAGTAAAGACAAACCCTTAAAGAATGCAAGTTGCATTTACTCACTTGATTTCCTTCATAGATAAAAATAACATCTTAAGGGTATGTGGCAGAATAAGACAAGCAGATTTTGCTGCAATCAATAACATCCAGTAACTCTGCCAAAGGACTCACATATAACAGAATGATAGTGTGTTATTACCACCGGAAAGTTCATCACCAAGGAAGAGGAATAACATTGAATGAGTTAAGGGCTCTGGTTATTGATCATTGAGGTTCATCATTGTAGGTAGACATATTTTCAAAATGTGTCATATGTCAAAAGTTGAAGGCAACATTTCAAGACCAAAAATGTCTGATTTGCCCCGAAAGACTTGAACCTGCCTCCCACACCATTACATATTGTGGGTTAGATTAATTTGGACTATTCTTTGTAAACAAGGTCGCAAAGAGGTCCAGAGATAGGTGGTTTTTGTTTACTTGTTATGGGCTTCAAGAGCATCCATCTAGAAACAGCAAATACACGGAACTGATTCATTCGCTCAATGCATATCGACGCTTTATAGGAAGACGGGCACAGTTCGTCAACTCAGATCAGTATCTAGGGCCACAATTTTGGTGGAGCTAGGAAATGAACTTCAGCAAATGGCTTCAAGAAATGGATCAAGAGAAACTAAGAGGGGAAGCTTTTAAGGAGAACTGTGACGATTACCATTTGAAATGATAATCCTCACCGCCATTCCATATGGGTGGGTATGGGAAAGACTATCCGTACTGTGAGGAATATACTACAGCCCTATTATACCATCATGGCAGACAATTAGATGCTGAATACTCAGGACCTTTATGGTTGAATCTCAGAGACCCATAGTAAAATAGTCGACCCTTGGCATTTGACAACATCCGTTCTCCATATTCATCAGAACCATTGACACCAAATCACTTGTTAACAATGAAATCAAAGTTGTGCTACCGCCACCTGGAACATTTCCAACTTCTGACCAATCTTCAAGTCAAAGATGGCAAAGTCAATATCTTGGCCAACTGAATTTTGGAATAGTGGACAAAAGAATATGTTCATTGCTTCAGGTGGCGGAAGAAGTGCCCTTCCAGTTACCAAAAATGTTAAATTAAATGATATTGTCATTGTAAAGGACAAATTTACCAAGGAGACTCTTTGGAACTGTTTGTGTATCTGAGGTTATACAAGCAAAGATGGTCTTGTAAGAAAGGCAAGGATAACAATGGATGATTCCTCACTTGACGCTTTTTGGAAGACGAACGAAAGTCAGATCGTTAACCTTGAAAGACCAATCCCAAACTCATATTGTTAGTTGAATCATAGTGGAAGTGGGGTGTCCCCCGCCAAAGAGCCTATCAAATATCAAAATTGTATTGTTCTCATTAAGTAGAGATGTTATTCCACATTTTTGCGTCATATAAGTACAATGTAATTAGAGTTTAAGAAATTGTTCATACAAGTAGGGGAGCCATGTTACTGCAGGGACAAAATGTATACTTAGTTATAAACAATCAGTTCCTATGCTTTGTGATATTACTAACATTAGGTTAAGTATGAAATAGATGAGTATACCCTCATATCGTTTTCTAAGGTGTACGACATCTATAGGGCATTTGCATAACTAATCATCATAAACATTGGGAGCCATTTTGTTACTCAGAGAAGCCAAGTGAGGTGTCTGAGGTAATATATCTGCTTATATCTTTGTAATCTTGTGATATATTTTTATATTAGTATAAGTAAATGATCTATTGTTATATAAAGACCTAATTGAAGGAGAATGTAATATGAATATTGAGCTATATTGTGTGAAATAAGAGTTTTATGTCAAGCATGTATTAGTGGAAGATTTGTTCATTTCAGTTTAACGGAGATAATTGGGAAATAATTGGACTAGAAATGGATGGTAATGAATTGCATGTAAAAAGAAGAATTCAAGATGTATCGAAGATGCAATAAAGTACCACAAAAAGATCCCAAGCGTTTCCAGTGAAACCCACCGGTTCTTGGCTCTCTGCAACAGTTAAACTCATACACCTGTATGAAGAGAAGAGTTAGATTTACTGAGTTCAGTTAAACTCAGCCCACAACAGATGGATACACTGAGTTACAGTTAAACTCATCGCATCAGTTAAACTCAAGACCTTCTGTATGCAGTTAAACATGCAAAAGTAAAAGATCAGTCCAGAACTACAGTTAAACTCACATCCTCATGAGTTCAGATTCAAGACCTCCTGTAAGCAGCAGTTACATACTTCAGTGGGGATGCTCGTGAGAGGATTCACATCTATCAACCCATCTTGCAAGATAATTCAAGGTCAAGAAGGATAGAAGAACGGTGTGAATGTTTGTGGGAATCCAAAGGCAAGAGGATAACCTATAAATTACTGGAAGATTTCTGCTCTTTAAAGAAGCTCTTCATTTCTACAGGTCCCAAAGGCTAGTGAACTTTTAACTAATAGGTATAGATTGTGTGTTTTAAGTTCCATATAGGTCAGTAGACAAATAGTAGTTGTAATAATGAGTGCTACTGAAGAAGCTGTAGGTGACCAACCTCAGGTAACTGGGGCCAGTGAGGTAATGAAAGGTGCTAGGAAAAAGGTTTTAACAGAAAAAGGGCGTGAGTATCAAACAACACAGTATATAAAGAGGTTATCATCTGCTAAGCTAGCATGGAAAAAAGTATTATCAGAGATATTACCAAGTCTTGATAGTGTAGTATGCTTGGATCAACTTAATGTTCATAGAAAGGCAGAAGAGTCACAGTTTAAAGAAGTTGTAAATGCCTTTAACTTGTTAATGGAAGTAGATCCAAGTTCTGAGGATGAATTGTTACAAGAGTTAAAGTTTGAGACTGAGGAGCACAATAATTGTATGCAAAAAATTGAGAGTAAAATGCATGAGTTAAAACAAGAAACAAATTCAGTAAATTCACAACAAAGTAGATCATCAAAGCACTCCCATTCAACAAAGAGATCTATGCATAATGTTACACAGAATGAAAGAATACAAGCAGAATTAGCTAAGCTACAAATTGAGCTTCAGCTTCATAAAAGGAAACAGAGTATAAGATGTTCGTGATAAATCAACAGAGGATCATGAAAGAAAAAGAATATGAGTACAAAAAGTTTCTTTTTATGAGAAATAGGTTTCCATCTCAAAAAGAAGTAGAGAAAGCCAGTCTAGAAGAAAATCAGCTAGAATTGTCTCAAAGTAAAGATCTAGATGATAGTAAAGAACTTCATCTTCACAAATATTTTGAATCTATTGATAAATTGACAGAGGTTGAGAAAGTAAATCCTACTTTACCAAAACAAGAAACAGCTGCTAATGATGTATCAGGTATGGGTGAATTAGAGATAGAGGTGTCTAAATTAGAGAATACCTTCTTAAAAGCAAGTCCAGAGCTTAAGCTACAAACAAAGAGTTTTGAGCCAAAAAGAGAGTTTCAAAATTTGAATGCATCATTTGGGCAAGGTAGATCAAGTCAACCTATAGACCTTAATGTACTCAAAGATGTATTAAATATTTTATCATCTAAAAGTAAAAGTGAATTGCCTAAACTAGAACCAGAAATTTTCAGTGGAGATTTATTGGAGTTTCCAACCTGGCTTCAAACCTTTGAGATTTTTATAGAATCAAGAGTTACAGAACCTGCAGAGAAACTTTTCTATCTAGGTCACTATACAAGTGGGGAAGCTAAGGCTGCCATTAAAGGACTTCTTCGTATCCCCAAAGAAGAAGCTTATCTTGAGGCTAAAGGTATATTAATGGATAGGTTTGGAAATAAGTTTATTGTGGCAAATGCTTTTAGAAGTAAATTAAATGAATGGCCAAAGATTTCAAATAAGGATGGTCATGCACTACAGGAATTGTCAGACTTCTTAAAGAATTGCTTAACAGTAATGAGAACAACAGACTACCTTAATATTTTAAATGATCCTCAAGAAAATGGTAAAATGTTACAGAAGTTATACCCAGCTCTTATAGATAGATGGAATTCTGTAGTTTACAAATGGTCCTCAAGTGATGCAGGTTACCCTCCATTTTCAGTTTTTTGTGAATTTATAGAAGTGGAGGCAAAGAAAGCTCGCCATCCAATCTCATCACAAAATGCAGTAATGACAAGGAATCAGAGTCATAATATCAATGTTTCAATGAGTAGTAAGAAGGGTAAACCAGAATTAAACAAGTCTGGGACAAAAAGGTTTGTGACTAACTCAACAGGTGTAAAAGAAACAAAGGTACATAGAGATGACAGGGGACAAAGTCCAGACAAACCATATTGTAATTTTTGCAAGGCTGATCATGAACTTGATAAATGTAAAGGGTTTAATGGACTTGATAATAAGGCAAAATTTGAATATGTCCAAAAATCATTTCTTTGTAGGGGTTGTTTAAAACATGGCCATATTGTTAAAAACTGCAAAAGAAAGAATATATGTACAGTATGTAAGAGACGTCATCCAACATCTCTTCATGAGGCTATACTTGAAAGAATAAAGAAAGGGAAGCCTTACTCAAAATGTATAAGGAACAAGAGGCTGGAAATACAGTAACATTGTCAAATGAAACTAATATAAATGAAGACAAGGTAAACTCCAGCAAAGTTAATGAGGAACTCAAAGATAGTGCAGTTTCCAATAAAATAAAGATATTGAGAAAATCAGAGGATATGATGCATTCCATGATAGTACCAGTATGGATACATCATGAAAGTAACATACGTAAAAAGGTATTGGTTTATGCATTATTGGATGAACAGTCAGATGCATGTTTTATTAAAGAATCCACCATGAATGAGCTAAACATTCTAGGCTCCAAGGTACACCTAAAGTTAACAACAGTGACAGGCGAAGAAACAATTGAAAGTACAAAGACTAGAGGACTAATAGTATGTGGTAAAAATGAAAAGATAGAGATTGCACTTCCAGTCACTTATTCAAGGAAGAATATACCAGCCAGACATGATCAAATTCCAAGGCCAGAAAGTGTAGAAGGGTGGCCTCATTTACAGAGAGTAGCAAACGAATTGATGCCATACGATAGAAGTGTTGAAGTTGGGCTCCTGATTGGCTTAAATTGTATCCGTGCCATCAAACCAAGAGAGTTAATTCCTGGGAAAGATGACGAGCCTTATGCAAGGAGAACTTTGCTTGGTTGGAGTATAATAGGGAGAGTCAATGGTGATTGTCAAGACACAAGTGACTCAGATTCAGTTCTAGCTAGCAAAGTAATAGTCAATAAGGTTATCATTAATGGTGACACAAAATGTAGCTTTCTTTCCTCACCAACTAAAGTAAAGGAAATAATTGATTTTGCACAAGTTCGAAAATTGTTTGAGCTTGATTTCAGTGAAAGGGAGACAGGAAATGTTCCTTTTTCGTATCAAGACAAGATTTTCTTAAGAAAAATGAAAGATGGAATTCATCAACTAAAAGATGGGCATTATGAATTGCCACTCCCTCTTAAAGATGATAAGGTCAAGTTTCCAAATAGTAAAGAATTAGCAATGTGTAGGTTGATGAGTCTAAAGAGGAAGCTAAAGCAAAAGAATGGTTTTCTACAGGACTATGTTGCCTTTATGAAAGATCTCATAGACAAAGGCTATGCAGAAGAGGCACCATACCAGGGTCCAAATTTCAATGATGGAAGAGTATGGTATATACCACATCATGGTGTGTATCATCCAAAGAAACCTGACAAAATTAGGGTAGTATTCGATTGCAGTGCTGTGTATAAGAATGAATCACTTAATAAGAATCTTTTACAAGGTCCGGATCTGACAAATAACTTGATTGGCGTATTGTGCAGATTCAGAAAGGAGCATGTAGCAATTGCATGTGATATAGAAGCAATGTTCCACCAAGTAAAGGTAAAGCCTGATCACAGAGACCTACTACGCTTTCTGTGGTGGGAAAATGGAAATCCTGATTCAACTGTCAAAGAATATAGAATGACAGTTCACTTATTTGGGGCTACATCTTCTCCAAGTGTAGCAAGTTTTGCACTGAAAGCCACTGCTAATGATTATGCATGGCAATGTGGTACAGAAGCTGCCTCCTTTGTTAAAAATGAATTTTATGTAGATGATGGGTTAACATCTTTACCTACAACTGCAGAAGCCATAGCTTTAATCAGGAATAGTAAAGCATTATGTTCGAAGGGTGGCTTCAAATTGCACAAGTTCTTGTCAAATAAGAAAGAAGTTCTAGAAGCAATAAGTTTAGAGGAAAAGGCTAAAAGTTTAAAGAACTTAGATCTCTCTAGTGAAGCCTTACCAATAGAGAGAACTTTAGGAGTAGAATGGTGTATAGAATCAGATACATTCCAGTTCAGAATTAGTATTAATGACAAACCAATAACTAGAAGAGGTATATTGTCAACGGTGAGTTCTGTTTTCGATCCAATGGGTATGGTCTCACCCTTTATATTGATTGGTAAAAGAATACTTCAAACCTTGTGTCAAGATGGAGTAGACTGGGATGATGACATATCAGATAATTTGAAACAACAATGGAGAAGATGGAGAGATGATCTGATTCAGTTGAAAGAGTTAAAGATTCCTAGATGCTACAAGCCTGATGTGTTTAGAAAGGTCAAATCATTGGAACTGCATCATTTCTCTGATGCTAGTCAGTATGGTTATGGACAGTGCTCTTATTTAAGGCAAGTAAGTGAGCAGGGACAAATTCATTGTGCACTTGTCATGTCAAAGTCTAGAGTGACACCATTGAAGCCCATAACTGTTCCTAGGTTAGAACTAACAGCTGCAGTCGTAGCTGTTCGAATTAGCTCTATGCTAAGGAAGGAGTTAGGTTATCAGGAACTAAAAGAATACTTTTGGACCGATAGCAAAGTCATACTTGGCTACATTTCAAACGAAGCTAAGAGATTCCATGTGTTTGTTGCTAACCGAGTGCAGCATATTAAAGACCACTCCTCTATGGAACAATGGAAATTTATAGAATCAGCTCAAAATCCTGCCGATGCCGCTTCACGTGGATTGTATGTAAAGGAGCTGATTGAACATTCTCTATGGTGGAATGGACCAAATTTCCTCTGGGAACCTGACCATGATGCAAATCTACCATTTGTAAATGTAGATATCCAAGAAAATGATCCAGAGGTTAAGAAAATTTCGGCATATAAGACCCAAACCAAAGAGAGCACTTCTATTCTTCCTAGACTTGAATATTTTTCTGATTGGCACAGGGCAAAGAAGGCTGTTGCATTATGTTTACGCCTTCAACGTAGATTCAAGAATTCTAGAAGAACAGTCAATGAAGAACTGACTGAAAACAAAGAATCCAAGTACATTCCACCTAGTGTAACAGAACTTGTGGAAGCTGAGAATGAAATCATAAGACAAGTCCAAAATGAAGCTTTCCAAAAGGTGAAACAAGATTTACAATGTGCTAACAACGACAATGAAGATGCCAGTAAAAGAAACAAACCCTTAAAGAAGGCAAGTTGCATTTACTCACTTGATCCCTTCATAGATAAAAATAACATCTTAAGGGTAGGTGGCAGAATAAGACAAGCAGATTTTGCTGCAAGCAATAAACATCCAGTAATTCTGCCAAAGGACTCACATATAACAGAAATGATAGTGTGTTATTACCACCGGAAAGTTCATCACCAAGGAAGAGGAATAACATTGAATGAGTTAAGGGCATCTGGTTATTGGATCATTGGAGGTTCATCAGTGGTAGGTAGACATATTTCAAAATGTGTCATATGTAAAAAGTTGAGAGGCACATTTCAAGAACAAAAAATGTCTGATTTGCCCCCAGAAAGACTTGAACCTGCCCCCCCATTTACATATTGTGGGGTAGATTACTTTGGACTATTCTTTGTTAAACAAGGTCGCAAAGAGGTCAAGAGATATGGTGTTTTGTTTACTTGTATGGCTTCAAGAGCAATCCATCTAGAAACAGCAAATACACTGGAGACTGATTCATTCCTCAATGCATATCGACGCTTTATAGGAAGACGTGGCCCAGTTCGTCAACTCAGATCAGATCAGGGCACAAATTTTGTTGGAGCTAGAAATGAACTTCAGCAATGCTTGCAAGAAATGGATCAAGAGAAACTAAGAGGGGAGCTTTTAAAGGAGAACTGTGACTGGATTACATTTGAAATGAATATCCCTCACGCCAGTCATATGGGTGGAGTATGGGAAAGACAGATCCGTACTGTGAGGAATATACTAACAGCCCTATTATACCATCATGGCAGACAATTAGATGATGAATCACTCAGAACCTTTATGGTTGAAGCAGAGACCATAGTAAATAGTCGACCCTTGGCAGTTGACAACATCAGTTCTCCATATTCATCAGAACCATTGACACCAAATCACTTGTTAACAATGAAATCAAAGGTTGTGCTACCGCCACCTGGAACATTCCAATCTTCTGACCAATATTCAAGGAAAAGATGGCGAAGAGTTCAATATCTTGCCAATGAATTTTGGAATAGGTGGAAAAAAGAATATGTTCAATTGCTTCAGTGCAGGAAGAAGTGGCCTTCAGTTACCAAAAATGTTAAAGTAAATGATATTGTCATTGTAAAGGAACAAAATTTACCAAGGAACTCTTGGAAACTTGGTTGTGTATCTGAGGTTATACCAAGCAAAGATGGTCTTGTAAGAAAGGCAAGGATAACAATGGCTGATTCCTCACTTGACGCTTTTGGAAGACGAACGAAAGCAGTCGTTAACCTTGAAAGACCAATCCACAAACTCATATTGTTAGTTGAATCATAGTGGAAGTGGGGTGTCCCCGCCAAAGAGCCTATTCAAATATCAAAATTGTATTGTTCCTCAGTAGTATAGATGTTGATTCCACATTTTGCTCATATAAGTACAATGTAATTAGAGTTTAAGGTAAATTGTTCATACAATTTAGGGGAGCCATGTTACTGCAGGGACAAAATGTATACTTAGTTATAAACAATCAGTTCCTATGCTTTGTGATATTACTAACATTAGGTTAAGTATGAAATAGATGAGTATACCCTCATATCGTTTTCTAAGGTGTACGACATCTATAGGGCATTTGCATAACTAATCATCATAAACATTGGGAGCCATTTTGTTACTCAGAGAAGCCAAGTGAGGTGTCTGAGGTAATATATCTGCTTATATCTTTGTAATCTTGTGATATATTTTTATATTAGTATAAGTAAATGATCTATTGTTATATAAAGACCTAATTGAAGGAGAATGTAATATGAATATTGAGCTATATTGTGTGAAATAAGAGTTTTATGTCAAGCATGTATTAGTGGAAGATTTGTTCATTTCAGTTTAACGGAGATAATTGGGAAATAATTGGACTAGAAATGGATGGTAATGAATTGCATGTAAAAAGAAGAATTCAAGATGTATCGAAGATGCAATAAAGTACCACAAAAAGATCCCAAGCGTTTCCAGTGAAACCCACCGGTTCTTGGCTCTCTGCAACAATATATATATATAT